AATATAAAGTACCTTGAGGCAACAGTTGTTGTGATTTGGCGCTATTTAAATAAAAGTGAATTAAATTGAATTGAAATGTGGAAAAGAAGTGCACTGCCCAAAAAAAATACAAACCCTACATTTTCCACAGCATAAAAGTCTTCTCTGTTGTGCTATGTCCTCAGTATGTCCAAAATGCTCATAGCTTCATCAGCTTTATATTAACGAATTGAAGGGAATTAGACTACCGGTGTGATTTCCATATGCTAGTATGGACTAGTGAAAATCTACAAGGAAGCTACAAAGTTTTAATATTAGCTTTCTACAGTGAAGCAATGACATCAAAGAGTAGAGTTAGTTTAGTACTGATTTGAAATATATGTTGTTTTTCTTGGTGTGTATTAGTATTTTTGATAATGTCTATACCAGTGACCTAGCCAATAAAAGAAATAGCACACCTTGTCCAAATGTGGAGAATCTATTTCCCCCCAAAAGTGTCAGGAATATCGTTTAAAGATTTTAGGAAAAAACATCTATAATGTCATGCTCAGCAGGTGTACAGGATTTGCGTCTTTCCCATCTTCTTCTTGGAAATTTGTTGTGCACTTTTGCACCCCCGGTTATTTTTTGTGAGTGACATCCTGACTCTGACCTTTAGTTTGCAGAGAACAACTTAGCTAAGCGTAGTGCATGTGTGTGTGTCTGTGTGTGTGTTTTTCAAGCTGCCAACTTGAATCACTCCAGTGAGGATAGACTGACAGAAGGATGGGTATAGCCAGCCTGAGGGGAGAGAAATTGCATCATTCCTCCAGAATGATGATCCATGTATGTGTGTGTCTCTGTGTGTGTGTGCGTGTGTGTGCCCACATGAGTGTATGTTTGTTCGTGTCTATGTGTGCAAGAAAAAAGGGGAAAAAGCCCATAGGACTTCTTTATAACATCTTATAATCATCTAGGGCTCCCCCTCCTAGGACCTGGCGTCCACATATGTGGACATCCAATTTTGGGTTATTTAGACCAAAATACTCAATTTTGCTCTACAAGGGCCTGATATCCACTTACGAGGACATTATACTGCCACTGATCTATCAAAATTTTAAACGAATGTCCTCATATGTGGCTCTTATTTTTCTTAGAAACAAAAATCAGGTTAAAAAAATATCTGGTAATTCTTTGTTTTTACATTAATCAGCCCAAATATCAAAGAGAAATTAAAAATGCGTGCCGTGGAAGAGTTCGGGACTTAGGAGGTTAAGCAACCTTGGTGATGTAAATAAGTCTCTGCACCTAATTGATGTAGAAAAATTATGCTTTTAAAAATCTTTTTGACATAGCAAACCTGAACCAAACCAAGCAATATTTTTACCTAAACTTAACCAGACAGAGAATTTAAACTGAAGTGAACACTGAGAGAACGTAAAGCCTAAGTTTGATTTTAAACTGGATTTTAATTCTAGACTCTGAGAGCGTGTCCACATGTAAAATTATGTACTCTGATATTAGCCAATTGTAGACATTTCAAACTTTTGTTGTAAGAAACAGTCTAAGCTAATGTACTTAACAAGGTACAGTGAGGGAAATAATTATTTGATCATCTGCTGAATTTGTAAGTTCCCTCACTTGCAAAGAAATGAAATTTATGATAGTTTAATTTTAGTATAAAAAGACAAAATATGCACCACACCGGTTAAAGTCAATAAATAAATAAATCTTGTTTTTTTTTTCATTCCAACTTCTGCAATACTATGGACCAGAGAGCTGTCAAAGGACATCAGGGACAAAAAGTGTCCCTGATGTTTTGTCCCTGACTGGGACAAAACAGTCAGGGACTGTGTAGGCTTACAGCCTACACAAGGCTCACTGCAGCCTTGTGCAGGCTGTAACTCGCTGCAGTGAGTTGGTGATAAGGTGTCAGATGTTGGTTTGATAATTCGGAAATAGGAGAAATATAAAATGATCATCAGTCTGGAGCTCCATGCAAGCTCTTTACTTATGGGGTGAGGATAATCATGAGAAAGGTGGTAGATTAGGCCAAAAAAAAACAGCTTTTTAGCGATCACTAGACCACCATCGGTGACGGATTGAAATCTTGCAGCGCCCACAAGTTCCTCCCTGCTCAAGAAGGCACATATACAGGCTGGTCTTAAGTTTGCCAGTGAGCATCTAAATGATTCAGAAGATATTTGGGAGAAAGTGTTGTGGTCAGATGAAGCCAAAATCAAGCTCTTTGCCATCAGTTTGACGTTGTGTATTTAAAGAAAGGAAAACGCTAAGTATGACCCACAGAAGATCATCACCACATTCAACCACCAAGGTGGAAACATTTTAAGATGAGCCTACCGGACAACTTCACTGCAACTTCAGGAGAATCTCCTTCCCTAAGACAAAACAATGAAAGTTGGTCTTCTAGAATAGAATGACCCAAAGCATACTGCCAGGCAACGGAAGAGAGGTAAAAGAAGAAGTGCAACGAAGAAGTTTTAAGGTCATGGAGTGGCCTGGCCAGTCTCCAGAACTCAATCCTATACAAAATCTGTGGAGGGAGCTGAAGCTTTGAGTTCCCAAGTGACAGCCAAGGAAGGGGTTAAGAGTTAAGGGAGCTAAGAGAGATCCATTTAGTCAAGAGATGGAGAGTGTGCTTTTGTTACCTTCTTACAATTTATTTTTTCCTATTTGTCACATTTTATAAAGAGGAAACACTGCTCTGAAAAATGCTTTCATGGTTTGTTTGTTTTTTAGATGGTAGAGGGAAAACAAAAAAAAAAAAGATTTTTTTTTTTAATTGCAGACTTGTTGTGCCAACATTTGTGGAACTGAATGAACACAAGATGGCAACACTTCACACATGCATTTCTCTCCTGAGATTCTAATTTAGAAATTCAGGAGGAGGTTGAGTCTGGAGGAAACATATCAAGTGGTGGAAGCGTGTGCTCACTTTTATTGGATAACTTTCACAGTCTGGACCAATGAAACTTTTATTTTTCCTTTTTTTTTCTTTTTTATTATAACTGAAATATTGATACCGCCAAAGTATCCAGCAGTATATTTCCACTGACTGTCGGTGTATTTGTCTTCAGGAAGATTCAGAATGGGGAGGAAAAGGCAAAAACAGACAGATAAAAAAGAAGGAGAAAATGGATGATGGAAGCAATATCAAGGCACAGGCTTGCATTATTCCTCGGTTTTACGACAAATACTTAATGAAAATCCCTGCAAGGGTGATAGAGGCCTGTATTTAATTAAGCCTTTATAAAAAATTAACCAGGGAGGCCAGGGCGATTTCCCCTCTCCTCTGGTCTGTTGAGTAGATTGAACCACAGTTACACTGCATAGACAGCTCTGAATTATAATTTTAGATAGAAGGTGAGTGAGAGGGAGAGGGAGCTGGAGCAAGCAGGTCTAATGCTCACTAAAGAGCCAAAGGGGAGTTTAGGATGGGGGACCAATGCATCTCCTATTGCTACCCCTGGAATGTCTTCTAATCACATTAGGGGAAACTATAGCTCTGATTTATAAGGGCTCTTTTAAGTTCACTTTTCAGCCACAGCACCTCCATGTCTCTATATTTAAGAGTCTTTGAATGACTTTGATCTCCTAATTTGGGCGTCACATCCTGTGAAGGGCACAATGTGCAGAAAAGGTGTAAATCATCACAGGAACTCTGGTGTCTTTTTTTTCCACCACACTGATGATGGCTAGTCTGCAGGGAGTAGTTAGAAGGACCACCCTAAGAGAAGAAAAGTCAGTGGATGAATAAAATACACATATTTCTTATGGTCATGGTTGATGACCAAATATCATTTGGAGGTTGTCCATTTTTAACCCTTTTCTCAGCAGTTAAGACAAAATCATAAAAATAAGATACCTGGCAAATATGTGACAGAATAATCTCAACTTGGACAAGGATCACTTCAGATATTTTTTCTAAACTTGCAACAGTTTCTAATACTTTGAGGTGTCATCAAGTGTGGTGTGTCAGCCATGTGATAACAAGTGGTTAAACAGGACTGTAATCGCTGTCGTGGGTCAAGGACAGTTTTGCAGTTTGATTTGGTTGGCCCCGATCGTCAGACTGCTAGGACGGGGTGAGCAGATTTTGCCTGAGGTTCACAGATAGCTTTGTTGTCTGTTTCAAAATGTTCAGTTAAAGTAGAAAGGTTTGAATTAGCCTGCGTTCAAATGCACTCCAACAAAACAGTACTTGATTGCAATTGGAATAAATTAATACAACACTCGTAAAGTAATAGCTAATAAAAGGAAAACAACAGCAGTAGCAAGTTCATTACATTAAAGTGGATTTCTTTTCAACTCAGAGTTTTTAATATATAAATATATGTAATATTTATATATTAAAAAGTTAATCAGTTTTTGTGTTTTAAACAAATTATGACTTTTATAAGCATTCAGCTCACATTGAATGGTACCCAAAGCATTCAGGTTTGGGTACTAACAATGACTATTAGTGCCCAAACCTTAATAGAAAACTATACTTGTGATAATATGACTAGTTGTTATTGGAGAAAACAAAATAAACATTCATTCAGTGAATTATTGTCGATCGTGGCTCAAGAGTTGGGAGTTCGCCTTGTAATTGGAAGGTTGCCGGTTCGAGTCCCGGCTTGGACAGTCTCGGTCATTGTGTCCTTGGGCAAGACACTTCACCCGTTGCCTGATGGTGGTGGTCAGAGGGCCCGGTGGCGCCAGTGTCCAGCAGCCTCTCCTCTGTCAGTGCGCCCCAGAGTGGCTGTGGCTACAATGTAGCTGCCATCACCAGTGTGTGAATGGGTGGATGACTGGTTGTGTAAAGCGCTTTGGGGTCCTTAGGGACTAGTAAAGCACTATACAAATACAGGCCGTTTACCATTTACCATCATCAATATGCAACTTGATCATGACACTAACAAAACATTTTTTAGAAATTTTACAGTACGTACCACATTGCATAGTTGTAAAAGATGGAATGCGTGTGTGTGTTTTATTGAAGTCATCACTCTCAAAACTGCTCTGTTTTTTTTTTACAGATCCATACAGACTCTGATGATGGTGAGGGCAACATCAAATATACTATCTCTGGAGAAGGAGCTGGATCGATCTTCATCATTGATGAGCTTACAGGAGACATACATGCCACAGAGAGACTAGACCGAGAGGAAAAGGCTTTTTACACTCTTAGGGCTCAGGCCCGGGACCGGCTCTCTAATGATCCCCTTGAGCCAGAGTCAGAGTTTGTCATCAAGGTCCAGGACATCAATGACAGTGAACCCAAGTTCTTGGAAGGACCCTATATTGGCAGCGTGGCAGAGTTGTCACCCATAGGTAAGCTGGAAAATGTCTAGCGCAGTCAGACAAGAACCATTTGGATCACTGTTTGAGGCTCTGTACATAGCAAAGCCCCAGGGTGCCTGTAATGTATGGAATTGCAAGTTTTACTGCAGCTATTTTCATGATACATAAGTAGGGTGTGTGAGCTTTTTTTATGGGCTCAAGGGAAGGCGTAGAGTGCCAGGAAGAGCAATATGTTAAAATTCTCCTCCACAAGAGAGATGGATATATGAAAAAGCAGACATGTAAGATAGCTATGTTAAATGAAAATGGATTTAGAGTCACTGAATTTACTCTCGATAGTAGGAAGTAGAAAAGGAAAGAAACAGTGCAGGCATATAAAGAAAGTAGAGGCAAACAAATTGCATCACTCCCAGATAAGCTGTGTTCTAACACTGTTTTGAGGCAAATGATAAAAGGAAGAACAAGAGGGAAAGAGCAACATAGGAACGGTGCTCCAGGAGTGCGGTTAATGGAGAGAGTACACTGTCAGTAAAAATGACACTACAATACTTTAAATCCTAACATGTTTTTATTGTGACCGAGTATATTAGCAGCAATCCATGGCTGCTTCAAACAATTTGCAAAATGTAAAAGACAGGTGAATGAGGGTGTCAAGGGCTTCATTAGCGTGGTATTAATGTCAAAGACAGCTGATATTTAATAGACAAAATTCTGTTTAGCTTCTAAGCAACATCACCATATTTGCTCCAAAGAGTTTGTGCGATACGGGTATATGCGTCCGTGTGTTTGTGTGTGTGTGTTCATGCATATGCAGTAGAGGCAGGGGTGCTTCTTGTTTGAGTGACTCCAGGAGTGGTGCAAAATGGAATGGCTCTTTCCTGTTCAAGCCTGATTGGAATTAATTCCTGCTTCCTCAGCATGATCCAAAGCATGGGCATTTCTGCCTGCATTGCTCTCTAAAACTGAATGGCGTGTGTATGCATGCGTGTGTGAGTCGGTGAGAGAAAGGAAAGTGAAAGTTAGCAAAAACAGGAGCATGATAAAGAGAAAAGGAATAAACACAATTTCAGAAAATGATGCAAAAGCCTGGGGAGCACCGGGGAGCTGTCCTCAAGAAAGAGTGAGATGCAGCCTTAAAAGCCATGCTTGCTTAATAATAGTTTATGTAATCTTAATGATCATAACTCTTCTACCTCTGTCCCTTATTTGACCCTGCCACGTCTCACTTAGATTATATAAGAAATAAATAGACAGTTCATATTCTCATGGTTCATCCATGTGTGTTTTCTTTTGACCTGTTTGACTGGCACTTACCATTTCCCAGCTCATCACCTTTACTGCACATTTCCATGTTTTAACGACGGTAATGTCACTTAGTTTGGACGTATACTTTTATAAATGTATTATAAAAGTATAACATTTGCTATATTGATATATCTTATAATAGTTTCAGTGCTTTTTATTTTGGATAATTCTGTAGAACCCTACTTTCCACTGGATCAACAAATTTACTAATCCGCATTTTAAAATAGTTCCTAACAACATCTTACACCGGTTTGAGTAGAATCTGGTAAAACCTACAGTGTCCAGCTGTTTTAGGAAAATGTTTCTTTATGACACAAACTGGTTTTCTGCTATTTTTATTGCTTTTTGTGGCCTGTTTTTGTTTTGGGAGAAAAAGACAGTGGGGCAGAGCAATATAGAAAATAGGTTTGAGAAGGTACTAACATTGAGGGATGTACAAAATATTGACTTTCCAGGGAAAAAAAACCAAGACCTGTCTTATAAACGCTGAGAAGAAAAAGAGTTTTTATTTTGTTTGTTAATGTGTCTCAAAATCATTCAGAATTTATAGCTATCCTCTTATTTTGTTGCTGCTCTGTAACTGTTGTTTAAGGAATTCCCAGAGGAATTTTATCGTCATGCCCTATGAGCATGTTCAACAAGTGCTGACATCTACTGTAAATTTGATTTGTCTTTTTCTTTGTGAAAAAAAAAAACATTGCATGCACAGAACCTCAGTAGAATCACTTTCAAATAATTTGGACACAGCTCTTCTGATATGCTGTGATGGAAGCAGGTTGCAAGCATTAACCACACCAGTGATATGCTCACTGTGCTGTTTTATGCTCAGCCATATAGCCAAATTGCCTTGGAACACGTGAGGCCATAACAGTAAGAAAGTAATCAGGACTCAACTGCCAGAGGCATATTCATCTTTACCCCTGTCATGTCTCCCGGCACTCGTCTTTGTCATAGTCTTAAAGCCTCTCTATGCTCGCCTCGCCCCTTTTGTTAGGGCATCCTATTTGGTTGCCTATCTGTCTATCCTTAGTATACTTAGTATGCTCAGCATTTTCTTTCTTAAAAATAACCCTTTTTCACCCAGTGAGCAGTGTTTGTTAAGGAGAACTGCAATAATTAGAAGTACTGAAGCTGATGATGAAGCATGAAGGTCTGAGCTCTACGTTGTCCTGTGGAAAATGTGTGTCTAATGAAATTGCTGTATTAAATCAGATTTGTTGCGTATGGATGATTGAATGTTGTTCATAGAATCATGCATACGTTTATGATGGAACAGAAAAGGGAGCATGGAAACCTACAGGTGTGCTCCAATTCATGATGATAAACTGTGAAAGATCAATTTGAATCAGCACAACCAGTAAGAGTACTTGAGCTAACTATGCTTCTTGGTTCGTAATTATATTAACTGCCATAATATCGATGCATTTTCTATTTACATGTTTACTGATTCCATTATTTTGCCACAATAATGGAACAGTACCACACAGCAAGAAGACCCCGGGCTGCAACTAGAAATCTAGTCTCCATGTTCGAGTAGTTACGTGTTCGAGTAGTTGCTTGTTCGACTAGTCGCATCCCACCTGTCTTCTTTTTTCATGCTGCATGCATTACTAGCAAGTTGAGGACAGTCAAACTTCCATCTGTCTTTTAGTTTTTTGTTTTCTGTCTTACAAATGCGCAAGAATGAGTCGCGTTAAATAATATTAAAATTCTGCATTTCTGAAATCATTTAGCAGTGATTGTTCACCACCATTAACTCTAACTGCAGAATATGTGGCAGAGTTGGTTTGGGGCTGCATTCATCTGAGCTCAGTTTTGTAGAAAAGTTGCGTACTGTCACACCTACAGTAATGCAGATCTGTAATATTCACAGTGTACATAAAAATAACCTTTAAAAATAGCCTTCTTTTTTCTAAGTTCTTTAAGTCCAAAGCAGACAAAGAACTTATTGTATTTTGAAGTTAAAACTAAACATTATAGGTCAGTTTGATTAATGGCTTCTCACTTACAAACTTACAGGTCATCATTCTCTTTATAGCTCACCCTCCACTGTATTTTCTGAATCAAAGTGGAGCTATAATAAATGTAAATCAACTGCAATGTTAAAAGCTAATGTTGCCTCACGTCCATTTGCAAGGTAATATTGGCGGTACGGGTCTGTCCATTTTAAGTACCTATCCTTCCATTATAAAATTATATGTATTATATCTTTGGCAAAAAGCCCTGCGCCTACCTAAAAGTACCAGCAAATTTAGTGAGTGTACTTAAAATAAAATAGTAGGTTAAGATACTAATCAAGAGGTAAATGTAACTTAAAATCATTTTGTATTATTATTTGTTGTTTTCTAAAGCATATTATAAAGGTTGAAGAAAAATGTTACAAATATTACAAAAATACCAAAATAAATGACACTGATCCTGCTCAAGACTTAAGATGTGAAATCTTCTCATCTTACTAACAATGTGAGATTTGAGTTGATTCTTTTTCACAAAACTCTTTGTTGATTCCATTTGACTTTGTTTTTTGAGGACTCTTAGAACATGTTATGGCATAACTATTACATGTTGTAACAATAACATCAATTAAAGTCTTAGATGAGAAAGACGTCCATAATTTTACTGAGTGGTTCCTCAGGGCTAGTTCCAGACACTGGCAGCCCCCTTTTTGATTCTGGAGGAGGGAACCAATGCACTGATGCATTACTCCTGAGAAAGGTGAGTTTGTCCTGCCTGCATAGGTTTATCCAGTCTCCTAGAGACAGAAAAGGCAGAGAAGGAGGATTCTTGAAATGGAACACCAGCTGTCTGGTGATGTCACCTTTGATTGGAGGTGAGTACTGTCCATCTAGTTTACAAGTGCTCTCGCCCTTAGCCACCAAAGTGCAGACCTGCAATATACAAACAACTGTTGAAGAGCAGAAAAGAAACTGTCTGTAACTTTCTGCTGAGGCCCCACTCTCATGCCCTGTTGGTTAGGACTTGGTTTTGCAAAAGAGGTTGGTTGGACCTATAGCTGTAGCATCTGGCTAGAAAGACAATCTAGCATGGCTTTAAGGAAAGATCAGAGTTAAACTAGAGCTATTTGTCAAGTTCCTCAGCCTAGCACAATCACGGGAATTGGTTAGAACTAGCTAGCCTGACTGCGTGCAATAATAATAATGATCCACACGCAAACGCCGTTTTTTTTTTGTGAGATTTTGTGAAACCTGTGGACGAGGAATACTGAGTTCGTCACGAGACGTCAAGGGTATGTACCTTTTTTCACGTGACGCTGTGCACCACGTTATTGTTTACATGAGATGAATTTCTACAATGCCGGATATAGACAAAATACTGCTAATCTTACTATCTGCAGTTTTTACACGCTTACATATACACACGCAGTTACTGTCCCTCCATTTAGAAAGGCAAAAGCATCACGGTGTAATTATTTTACGTGTTATTGTTTTTTTCCTGTGTAATAATATTCAACATTACTGTGGGATACTGTTTGTCCGTCGCGTGCTCCCAATGCAGGGGAAACTAATTCTGTCACAGAGTCCCACCTTGGCACTTGTGCAGGTGAAGCCAAAGGCAAGATATGCTTCTTCATATTTTCTAGTATTTGGCTTGGAATTAGGTTGGTTTAGAAACATATTTGGTGATGCTTCATCTTCTGCTTTGCGTTTGGTGGGAGCCCCGTTAAAAACCTGTCCATTATGCTAGCAGTGTCCAAGCGCTCTTTT